ATATTGACGAAAATTTGATGTGCTTTTTAGAATAAATAAAGTAGATAGAAAATAATTTAAACTAAAAAGAATTAAAATTGTAGAATATTTTAACCTTATTTATTATTTATGAGTAGATGGACATTGGTGAATAACTTGATGTTAATGCTCGATGATAAATTACATTTTTTATATATTTAAATGTTCAGTGTCAATAACGATCAAATACACGTGGCGCAATACACGTAGTCAGTCGTGTACCTGTAATAAGTTTGCGATAAGAATGTAAGTAATTATGTTAAAACATATAGCAACAAAAAAATTACGTTTTAATTGCTTCCTTGACATTCGTAATTGCTCCACTTAATTAATTAATATTAATAATACTGTTACACAAAAACAATCACCATTGTTTACTTAGCAATCAATCATATTTACTTACACTTACCTTCTTTAAAATTCATTCTTCTAGAAATGTTGTTGCACGATTGCTCCTTTTATTTCGTTAAATTTTTAATTTTTTGAATCATTATTTATAAAAATTAATATATGTTTATTATATAATGCGTTTTCTATTATACTTTATTTGGCGTGTATTGTATCGTTTTTTACATTTCAGTGGTGCAATTATCATTAAGCATGACATAGATTCTTGCATTCACTTTCCAGCGAAATATTATTATGACAAAGTAAAAATAAATGTACAATAAGTGTGTGAAAAGTTGTGATGGGAATGCTAACAAATGCTAGTTCAATAATGAACGCTAGTGCCGAAAAACTTGCATTCTGTCGAAAAATACACCTGCAGGCGGGTTTTAAATGGAAATGTAGAACTGTATGAAATTGTATTGAGATATTCATACAAATTTTTTATTTTATGAGAATTAACTTTAACAAAAAATAAAATCTATTGAAATATATGTGTAAGAAGAACCAAACATTTTTTTACTATTATTTACTATTTTTTACTATTATTATTATGTATTTTTTTATTTTAACACACATTGAATACATAATACTATATGCAATAATTTAGTAGCATCAGAACATGTAACATTAATTAAGAACAACCTATGTTTCTTGGGATACCTGTTTAATTTTAGAATATTTTATTCTTTCTATTCACTTTCTATGTAAATTGGACAAAGTAAGTGTTTCATAATTTATCGACGACATTCGATGTAAAAGCTCCGCGAAACTTAGTTTCAGTTGGTTGGACTCAAACTATGATGTGTAATCTTAAAATTAAAACAATGTAATTAAAGTAAATGATATGTGTTTTGGAATGGAAAAAAACATTTTATTAAAAAATAAAACAATACGAAATGTGTAATATTACTGCGAAATTATTGAAATATTAAACAATATACACGTACTTTGATCAGTTCAGATTATCATTGTAGTAAATATTTTTTGCGAGCATTGTGAAATTTGCAATAGGCGTCCTCTCAAAGCTTTACCGTACGGTGTACCACAACGATGATATTCGCAATTTATCAGCCACGTTATTAGCTGACAATGCGCAGGCTCTACGGTTATAGAAAGAGGGATAAGCGAAGGATCGATCGCGATCCTCGTTGCTGTTGCTTTTAGACGTTTGTGAGCGACAAAAGTCTCGTGACCTCGCCATTTACTTAAGCATGTACGATTAAGCGAGGAATTTGGCCACAAGAAACTCCATTCTTCTTGGGAAAAGAAATATATCGGAACTTGGTAAGACCTACAATCAACTTTATCATAACATAAAATTTACTTTTATTATTATTTAATTAGACTTAAAATTATTTAAACAATTCTTGTTTCGCCATTTTTGCAATAACAATCTTGTTATATGCAGTTTGGTGAAAAGTAAAAGAAATGATAAACAGAGAACTTAATTTAACATGTGTTATATCACGGAGAAAATTTTATATCAAAAGTTACTATGTACGGCAGGAATTTCGGACCATGAAGGAATTATAAAAATTTTTACTCTGTTATTCACATGTGGGAAACACAGTGAAAATTTTTAATCCGCGGTTTCATGGTTCGCGATTAGTGCTGTAAATGATTATTTTTGAAAAATTTTCTCCGTATAATTCAACAAGATTGGACATAATATGGATAATAAATTTTGCTCTTTTATAAGTAAATCTTATGCCTTATCAATTTCTTTTGTCAAAGTGCTGTGCTTAATATTCATAAACCCATCGTAACTATAATGCAAAAATTTGTCACACTATAATTATCTTATGTTTTAATTGTGACGGAACTAAATAATGCAGAACATGCGTGACAAATTACGTTATTTATTGAAACAACTTATTAATTCGTGTACATAAATCAGATTGGATTTTATTATTCATTTGTTTTAACATTAATCTTTTTTTATGTATAATGTTATGATCAAAATTAAATTTATGTAATTTCATATCGGTACGTGTAGCAATTATTGATAATAAAATTTTCAGAGAAGCATATATTACATTGATCAAACGTAACTATTAAAAATTTAATTAAGACACACGAGAGGATGAGTTTCAAAATAAGATTGTTATTCGTACTTGTTACCTTCAGCATGTTTAGCATTGTATACCCACGTGCTACAATAGCGAAATACATTAAAGATGATATAATGGACAATGAAGTATTTCTTAGAAGTAAGTGTTTTATTTGTCACACATTGTACACACACGGTAATATTTTAATTGCTATTATGATACATTTCATATAATCAAAGGAACTCAAATTGATAATAATTATTTAACGCATATATTTAGTAATCATAAATTGCTACAAATATCAGAAATATAGAATTGTCAGTTTAATTTTACTGAAAAGATAGAATAAATATTAAACTGTTTATAAATTTATGTTTTTTCTTCATAGTTTACTGCATGCGTTATGATTTAAGTTCTTGCACAATGCATTTCTTTTTTTAAAGGACCTGCTTTTTGTTTTAAACCTTACGACTTTGGGTATTGCATCATGCCTTGCGCAATGGTGTTGAGATATTGGTTTAATGAGGATTTGGGAACATGTGAACCTTTTAGATTCGGTGGTTTTAAAGGAAATAAAAATAATTTTAAAACTTTTAATGAGTGCTTGGAAACATGCAGTTAAGATACATAATTTTAGTTACATTACAGATATAAAATATTTGAAAATTTTCCATATATTTTTCCCATATATTTTTCCCATATATTAATACGTATTTGTACTAGTCTGATATTGAGTTAAAAGGAAATACTAAATAAAAGACTCTGTAAAGTCTTTATGAAATACTCACAAAAGTGTTTTATTTTTATAATAAATGACTGTAATAATATGAAATGTTTGGATATGTACATAAAATATGTAGGAATATTTGTGTAAATAAAGGAAAATACTTCTCAATTAATTATTTTTTATTTTTTTTTGTTGTATTAAGTATAATGCTACATATAATAAATTAATAATATTAAAGCGTATAATAATTTATATAAAACATAATCAGTGTTTAATAAAATATTATTTTAGTTGAAAAAATATTATCTCATATGGAATTACTGTAATTGTGCTAAATTATTATCAAAATTATTACACATGAAACAGAAGTATTGTATTCTTTTCTTATATTTAGATATTTTACATATTGTAAAAGTTTGATATGTTTTTTTGACTATGTAAGATAAATGGAAAACATTTTTTTTCAAGTAAGAAAAATCATAATTTTACAATTTCCTAACTTTTTCTATTATTTATGAGTAGATGAATACTCTAGTAACTTGATAATGAAATTATATTTTTATGATGTATTTAAATGATCAATATCAGTATAACGATCAAATGTATGTGGCGCAACACACGTAGTCAGTCGTGCAGTCATAAGTTGGCGCTGGGAGTAAAAGTAATAATGTTGAAACATACAACAACAAAAAATTACTTTTTAATTGCTTTTTTGCTATGCGTAATTGCTTCACTTTATTAATTAATATTAATAATGCTGTTACACAAAAACTATCATCTGTTTACTTAGCAAATATCCATATTTCAAATTTCCAATTTTTTTTACAATCTGTTCTTCTAGAAAAAACGATCCTTGATTGCTTTTGTTTCTTATTGTTAAAGTTTCAAGTTTTTGAGTTTTTATTTATGAAAATTAACAGATATTGATTATTTGATGCGTTTGCTATACTTTATTTAATCTGTATTGTATCAATGTTATAATTTGGTGACTACAATTACAACGTAGGTCCTTACAATCATTTTCAAACGAAATATTATTAAAAGACTAAATAAAAAATAAATGTAGAATGTTTATGTGGAGGGTCGTGTTCGGAATGCTAACAAGTTCAATAATGAACGCTTGTGCCGAAAAGTTTACCTTCTGCGGAAAAATACACTTGCTGACAGATTTTAAATGGAAATGTAAAACTGTATGAAATTTTGATCAGATATTCATACAAATTTTTTATTTTTATAAGAATTATCTGTAACAAAATTAAATCCGTTGAAATATTTATATTAGAAGAACCGGACATTTCCTTCATTTTTCACGTTTCTTATTATGTTCTTTTTAATTTTAACACATATTGAATACATAATACTATGTACAATAATTTAATAACATCAGAACATGTAATTTTCTTGGAATACCTATGTAACTTAAAAATATTGTATCCTTTCTATTTTTTATGTAAAATGAACGTTTTATAGTTTATAGACGAAATGAAATGTAACAGCTCTGTGAAATTTAGTTCCAAATGGTGAGAAATAATCTATAACATTTAATCTTAAAGTTAAAACAATGTAAATAAGGTAAATGATTTTTGTTTCGAGATGCAAAAAATCGTTTTATTCAAAAGTACTAAAGTACGACATGTATAATATTACTGCATTATTATTATTATTAAGATATTATATTATTAAAATATAAAACACTATACTTTATGATGAGTCTACAGCTCAGATTATCATTGTAGCAAATATTTATTGTGAGCATCGTGAAATTTGCTATAGGCATTCTTTCATAGCCGTATCACACAATATAGCACAACGATGATATTCACAATTTGTCAGCCACGTTTTTAGCAGACAATGCGCAGGCTCTACGATTTTGGAAAGAAAGATAGGCGAAGGATTACTCGCGATTCTGCATGCTGTTGCTTTTGGTTGACTGTGAGTGACAAACGTCTCTTGACCTCGTGATTTACTCAGGCATGTGCGATTAGACGAGGAATTTAGTCACATCAAACTCGAGTTTTCTTAGGGAAAGAAGTCTATCAGAACTTGGTAAGTGACATTCAGTCAATTTTATAATAATATTAAACTTACTTTTACTATTTAATTAGACTTGAAATTATTTAAACAATTCTTATTTTTGTTTCGCCATTTTTGCAATAACTTTCTTGTTATATGCATTTTTGTAAAAAGTAAAAGAGATGATGTCAAGAGAATTTATTTTAACATGTATTGCATCTAGCAAGGATTTAATATAAATAATAAATTTTGTTCTTTTATAAGCAAATCTTGCGCATTAACGATTTCTTTTTAAAGTGCTATTTGATATTTATACACACATCGTAACAATAATGCAAAAAATTTTTCACACTACGATTAGCTTATGCTTTAATCGTGACGGAACCAAATACTGCGGAATTTGCAAATTCCATTCAAACGAATAAGACTAATAGATACTAATAATTTTGCGGCACCTTTTGACAGAGTAAACGTGTCAAAAAAATAATTGTTAATATTTTACAATGTTATTCACATTTCTTTTACAGAGCTATATTCTATTTTTTTGCATGCATGTAATAAATAATAAACAGTGCTGATTTTACGATTTAAAATTATTGTAAAATACAGATAAATTATGTTATCTATTGAAACAACTTATAAATTTGTGTACATAAATCAGATTAGATTTTATGATTCATTTGTTTAAACATTAATCTTTTATTTTATAAAAAATAAATAATCTTTTGATTGAAATGAAATTTATGTAATTTTAGATCAGTACGTATAATAATTATTGATAAGATTTGCGGAGAAGCCTATGTTACATTGGTCAAACGTAACTGCTGGAAGTTGAATCAAGACAACACACGAGAAGATGGGTTTCCAAATAAGTTTCTTATTTATACTTGTTGCCTTCAGCATGTTTAGCATGGTATACCTACGTAATTCAAAAAAGAAAACCCCAATAAATGACCTATTGCGTCCGTACCAAAAGTTGATGCTGCGTGATGGTAGTAAGTGTTATATTTTTCTCACATTAGACACGCTCAGTAATCTTTTATTATATTTGCTATTATAATACTTTTCATATAATTGAGCAAACTCAAATTGTTAATAATTATTTACTGCATATACTTAGTTATCATAAATTGTCATAATTTGCAAAAATAAGAAGTTGTCAATGTAATTTTATCACAGTGATAGAATGAATATTTTATTGTACCTAAATTGATATGTATTATTTTACAGTTTACTGCATGCGTTATGATTTAAGTTTTTGTACAATGTATATCTTTTTTACAGGACCTACTTATTGTGATATGAGATATGACGACGGTAGGTGCTGTGATAGAAAATATCCCAATGGTACCTGCTACAAAAAGTCGCAGAAAAAACTTTACGTAGATGATTATGAATTCAGATATTGGTATAACGTAAATTCTAGAACATGTGACCTTTTTCTGTGGACAAAGTGCAGTAATAATGGAAATAATTTTGTAAACTGGCGAAATTGCATGGATGTGTGCCATCATAGCATAATAATTGTGGATACATCTTAGATAGAAGTACTAAATGAGAGAATCTGTGAAGTTTTCATAAAATACTTGTAAAAGTGTTTTATTTTTACAATTAATGACTGTAATAAAATGAAATGTACAGAATGTATGTAAAATATGTAGAAATATATATGTAAATAAAAGAAAGTGCTTTTTAATTTATTACTTTTTACTTGTTTCGTTATATTAGTTATATAATACTACATACAAAAAATTAATAATTTTATAGCGTATAATAATTTAAAAAAAACTTAATCAGTGTTTATTGAAATATTATCTTGGTTTTAAAAATATCATCTTATATGGGATTACCGTAATTGTGCTAAAT